TTTTTTTTATTTAAAAGCTTTAGATTTGTATAATATTTTGTATAATCTTCAGCTTTATATCTTTTTTATTTATCCCAATATAAATTTTTAAAAAGTGTCCACAATACACTGGTAGCTCCCTGTTAGTTTGGTTCTAATTATTAACGCTTTCAGAATAATGCTTTCAGAAGAGTTTCTTGTGTTCTGATTACTAACGCTTTTAGAAGAGTTTTGTGTATTATTAAAAAAAGGTTTGATCATTTTAGTAGACATAGTGTTAATAGATTTGACCAATATTGAAATATGTAATGAAAAGATGAAATGATTTATTTTAATTTATAAAATCGATTTAATACCAAAAATAGATGATGAAAAATGAGCAACTTTTATATTTGATTTTTTTTTTTTTTTTTTTTAAAAAAAATGTATATATATGATAGAAAATAAATAAAACTTTATTAATTATTATAATTATTTATATAAAATTTTGCAATATAAAAGAAAACTATATGTAAAACAAAAAAATCTTAAAATTATTATAAAATTTTTAAGTCTGGTATAATGCACTTATAATAAATTAAAATTTACTTTGCAGAAGATAATTATTATTGATTATAAATTACGAGAATAGTATAAATAATACTCATGCGTGTTCTGAAATAATGCGCAAATTTAATATTCGAATAAATTAAGAGAACAGGTATCTCTACTAGAGGTTGAACCCGAGTAGAAATTGTTGATATATGATCATAATAAATTACCCGGATAACACAGGTAATTTAATAATACCCAGGTAGGGATTTTCTCAACAGATCCAACCTCTAATCTCCACACCCGATTTTGATATTTCCACACCCTTTAGTCACGAGCATAATACATAAAGTGTATTATAGTTGTAATAAAAATGAAGAGTTAGATTACATTATTCAATTTTTAAGCCAGAATATATTTGAATCACATATCACAATATCTTTATAATTTTATAACCAGAATTGGGTGTGGAAATACCTGTTCTCTAAATTAATTATTAGCAAAGATTTTGTCTCAAAATAATGCCTACACACATATTCTAAATAATACGCATAAGTTTAAATAATACACAAGTAGGTGTTATTTTATATACAATCATGCCTGCACTTAATGTTGAAAACAAGTGTGATGGTGAATTGAACGCCGATAGTCGTAGTAAGCTGCAAGGCAAGGCAATTCAATAATTAATGGTTCTAATTACATACTTCCTATTTATCTAAACACTCCCGCACTTAATGTAGAAAACAAGTGCAATAGTGAATGGAACACTAATAATTGTAGTAAGCTGCAATACAATCCAATATTAATGATTTTAAATTTCAATTATATACCTCTTATTTATGCAACTTTCATCTAAACAAGACAATTACGCCTGAACTTAATATTAAAACATAATTGTAGTCTGTTCATTAATCTTGATTTAATAATAAGCTGCAATATGATCTAATAATTAATGATTCTAAATTACATCTATATACCTTTTATTTATGCAACTTCTATCTAAATAAAAAACTTAGCGCATAACCATTTAAGCAGTGTTGGTGAAGTTACACACCAATCATAAATAATCATACCTAATTGGGACGTTAGAATATCAAATGCAGCATTGACTTTAAGATTCTTAAAAAATATAGATCAAAGCTAGGGTGTGTGACACGGCAAAGAAATTTGGCATGCTATAAGGCATGCTATCTGACAAATTTCATACCAGGATGCCACTCTGGCATGCCAGTGGCATGCTATTATTAAAAATCTCAAATGATTTATAAATCTTGAAATTTTTCGGCACCCTTGCCTGTATTTTATATTCGTCAACTATTTATTATTCCAAAATTTTCTAAAATGAACACATGCATATATTGATTATATATAAGTGGCATGCCTTATATCAATTCTCTTTTAAGGCATGCCCGTAATAGCCGTGCCACACACCCTAATCAAAGCAGTGTTCTTAAATACTGTAATAATTCAAAATAACATGCATTTGGTATATGTGATTTCGCGATTTTACAGTAATCACACCTTCGATTATCAATATTATACAGTTACTCATATATCTTCTCAAATTATTATATAAGGCCACGTTCCTTCCTTTGCCTGTCGAATTAAAAAAAACTCTTTCACTAATTCACTCTATTCGAATTAAAAAAAAAAAATTAAGTAAATTCTCTTCTTTCATAATTTACTTATTCAAATTAAAAAAAAAAGCATAACTTCTCTTTTTTTACCAATTCGCCTATTCATCAATTCGTTATCTCTAAAAAATTTAACAATGTCAATATTTCAATTGTCTGAAAATTCATTTGCCTTATTTTCTTTTGAAAATACCTTTATAGTTCAATCAAAAAAAAGACAGATCCATGAATATTTTAGTGAATTTGATAGCCCTGAAGCTTTCAGTCTCTGTGATATATATGAAAATTCCTTGAACTCAATTGCTAAAAAATGTCATGTAAAATTACTAAATCGCAACTTATTGTGATAGATTGTAATTAGTAATCAACCTTTATCAACCATAGAAGAAAATTCCTTTAATAACTTCATTTCTACTCTTAATCTACACTATAAAATCTCCTGTTCTCAAACTCTTTCTGAAAATACTGAAAGACAATTTGAATCAGCAAGAATAATTGTAAAAGATTTTTTAAAAAATAACAAAAGCAAATTATCCCTTACTATAGACATGTGGACTACACATTCTCAACAACCCTTTCTTGGGGTAGGGATTGGAACTGCCTAAAATTTTTCTTAATCATTTAATCGTTTAATCATTTAACCGTTTAATCATTTAATCGTTTAATCATTTAACCGTTTAATCATTTAACCGTTTAACCATTTAGTTTGGCCAGTATTAAAATAATCCTGGCCCACGACTAATATAATTCTGCCCGGAACTATAGAGCAATTTTTAAATGGTTAAATGGTTCCAATCCCTATCTCAGGGTTACCATTCATTGGGTAAATAACAAGTAAATAATGCATACAATTCTTCTTGATATTATCGCTTTACCCGATACCTACATTGATGATTATATTGGAAAAAAGGTCCTCGAGCTCATGGAGGACTTAGAAATTAAATCAAAAATAATTGGCTTTACTGGAAATAATATATTAGACAACCAAAATTGTTATAGTTATTTTCAAAAAACCCTTCAAAGGCTCATAAGTTCCAACTTTATATTCGTTCAATGCCTATTACATGTCATTAACCAAGTAGCTGAAGAATTTCAAAAAAGTTACAATAACTAAATTAATAAAGCCCATAATTTGTATAACAAATTAATAACATCACCTTTACTCTTGAAGGAATTAGACTGAATTTCTATTCTGTTAAATTATTCATTAGTTTACCCTGAAATTAATAAAAAGGGTGGTGTTTTACTTATCTAATACTTGAATGGTTCATTCAAGTTTGTGTTATCATTGACGAACTTACCTATTCCCATCCAAATATCAAAAAAATTTATTTAGACCTTGTTGAGTGGGAAATAATTAAAGAAATATTAGAAATCTTTAAACCTCTTTACATAGCAATTTTAGTCGTATCAAAAAATCCACAACCTTTTCATAGAGGCATATGAACAATTATCTGTGGCCTTTTATCACACCTTAATCAATATGTTCCTAATGAAGCAGTGAAGGCAATGAGAGACATGTTAAGAGAGTATATGTGCGACCTTATGAAATCTCCCTTTATGCACGTTCTACTTGATCCGTTATCAAAGTTAGAAATCTTTGATGATGAAGATGATCAAAGAATAGCTATTCTTAAAATGTGTGCAATCATCTCCTAATTTAATCTAAAATAGCCAGATCCAGTACTTCAAATTGAAGATCCTCTAAAACTTTTCCGGCAAATGGTGGCTAGTGAAAAAGATGAAAAGGTGCTAGTAAGTAAGCTAGACATATACCTTGCTTTACCCTGTGAGCCAGGGATCAACACGCTTATGTGGTGAAAAAATAACGCTTACCAGTACCCAACCTTAGCACTTCTGGCGGCAGACTTTCTTTCTCTACAAACTACTAGTATTGCATTGTCTGCGACAAAGAAAATTATTAAACTTACAAAAAACTGCCCACTAAATTAGACAGTCAAAGCTTCATTGCTTTTAAGAAGTTGGTTAGAAGTGGGAATTTTAGAATAGACCATAGAATATAGATTATCTGTTATAAGTTCTATTTTTTTTTAAATAAAGTTATTTGTTATCAATTATCTACGTATCGTATCGTCATAGTCCCATGCTATCTAATATTGCATGTGACTATTAGAACTCGGTTCGAGTCTGACTCGGAGCCGAGTCTAAATTAAGACTTGACTCATGGAGTCGAGTCGAACCGAACCAAACTTTTAACATCCTACGTATAATTAACAAACTTATGTAGATCATATATATATACCGTAATAATAGAATTTTTTTATAGCCTATGATTTTTCTGAAATTTATATAGTAAAATACGTTTTTTTAAATTGCTACTTCTCTTTTATTTTTAATGATAAAGATATAAAATTTATCTAAACTAATAGAGAATAAGTTATAGTTTTATGCTTCAGAGAGTTTTTTAATTTATAAAATAGCTAATCATGCAAAAAGCTCTTTTAAAATTTTTTCATCATAAATGTTTCCGCTCTATTGCAATTTTTAAAAATTTATATGAGGTAAAAATTTTCTCTATATTAGTATTTTATATATTGTCTTCAATTAAAATATATTAATTTTTTTATAAATAACAGTTTTTCTGGAGCCTTAGCGATTTTAAAAAATTGGATTTTACTATATAATTTCGGAAAAATCATAGGCTATGAAAAATTTTCCTTATTGCAATTTATATATATGATCTATATACATATGTTTGTTAATTATATGGTATCGCACACCCCAACACACAACTCGGTCGAAATTGATGGTTATTTATAATGTTCACAACTTTATTTATTAACTTAGTAAATGAATGTGTACATTATTGGATAAAATTTCTGGTTTACTTATAAGATTCACCATTGGTATATATATCCATATATGTATGTAACCTATCTATCTATACCTAAGGTAAATACCCATTTTCGTAACTACAGAACTATTTAGAGATATAATCCTTTATAATAATATAATTAATAAAAGTCCTTTAAGAATTTAAAGGATAAGGGCTACTCCACGTTGTGCAATCTTAACTTTTTCAGAGGCTTTTGCTTCAATATTTATAATAAAGAGTAAATCAGAACGATCTTCATTAAGATAAACCGGAAGGTTTGCAGTTGTCTCGGTGGCTGGAGTAGCCTGCGAACTTAAAACCCATTTAATTTGAGAGGTTTCCAATTTTGTTGTCGGAACTCCGCAAAGACTCAATTGATTGTCTGTCCATTCAGCACCTACGTATAATGTAGAAAAATATTAAATTTGAATCGAAATTGAATTAAAAGGTAGTAAATGAAAGTTTATAGTGAAAAATACCTTCAAGCTTGAGCCCTAAGAAACGTAATATCAAGAAAGATATATATACGTCAATTTTGTATTTAAATACATTTTCATATTATCAAATCAATAAACCCTCTGTGATAATTACCAGTTAAAGCAAAAGAATCAGGATCTCCACTCTTATTAAGAGAAATTTCTAATACCAATTGTTCTAATGACCATTTATGTTTTTGTGCTACTGCTTGGCGTGTGGCCGTAATAAATGCTTCAGGCATGAAAAGACCACCGATCCATACTTGTAAATCTAAAAAGTCATGTAATTTTGTAATGCTTTCAAGTTGTTGAAGTCTGCTCCTGAAATCCGCAATCCAGTGATTTAGGGACACATTTTTGGCGACTTTATATTTTCGCCAGTGATCCGGTATAATGCCTTAATTTCAAAATTGTAAAATTACTTTAGACATGATCAATAATATAAAACGATTTATAAATAATGAAAAGAAACTCAACTAACCCTTTGTAAGACAATTCAATAACATACGCAAATGATTTGTTTGTTTGAGTTCACCTTTACAAACTTTAACGACATCCTCAAGATCTTGACGAATTTTCTTGAGAAGACTACGTCCGATTGAGTTTTCTCGATCAAAGAATCTGAATAATGGATTTTTGATACTTTCAGAAGTACGGCTCATCATTGGAATCTTTGCGGGGAGTATGCCTAACCATCCCTCGACAGACGTATGTAATGCACGCATCCAAGCCGGTTGGGATGACGATTGAGAATCTGACTCTTGAGACGTTTCATCTTCTTCATCATCAGCCGTATTCTTCATTTTTCTAATTTTCACAAGCATCGCGTAACCTACATATTATCAATTGAAAATCACATTAAATTATGCGTACAATTAATTAAAGAGTATAGAATAGCAACAATACAGACCTTTGCTTGTAGCTAAAACTCTTTCTGCATTGCTTGGTAATCCTAGCCATATAGGTGGCTCGCGTTCTGGAAGATTATTAACCCAGTTTACAAAGTCTTCCATTTTTGTGCCATCGGGAATGGCCAGTTTATGCGAGTCTTCTGAATCAACAAGCGGAAAATCAAATTCATAAGCAGCAGGTGAGAATAAACCATTTATGAAGCACTCGAGAAGACGCTTGTCAAATTCATTATCAATACGGCCGCCATAACCAGCAACACAGATTAATGTACGAAGCGCTTCCCAAGGAATCTTATCTGGGGAAATATTTTCTCTGTCCTTAGCGACTGAATTCAGCCAAGCGTCAATAGTATTAATTGCAAAGTCCTGATCTGAATCATTAAACTCGTAAATCTTAGTCCAACCGAGAGGAGCATAACGAAGACGTTCTTGCACGATAGCATGTAACCAAGCAAGCATGAAGTAAAGACGGGCGCGTTCTCTTGGACCTTTTGAGAAACGTGATTGCGGGATACTCTTAAGAGAGTCTTGAAGATTTGCCTTAATACCTGGTAGAGGCTCGAACATAAGCACACGGGATAGACGCAATAAATTGACTGGTACCTATATAAAATTTTATAACATGCCGATTTAGTCATAATGATTATCCCTTGATTATCATAAAAGACATCACAATCATACCTTTGGATTTGTCTCCATGGTGAGGAAAAGTCTAAAGTTTCTATGTGCTTTCATACTATGTAATTTCTTTTCGAGTTGACCTAGCCATGATGTAGCTAGATGAACGTTTTTCAATAAAACCCAATTTCCGTTCTTGACCGCAGTTGCAATAGCTTGATCGGCCAAAGTGAAACCCTCTTGAGAACCCATAGCAACAGATGTACATTTGACATTCGTTTCATTTACAAGATTATCTACACGATAACTTGCATCATATCCAGGAACTGAACATAAGGAAATAGGAGTGGTAGGTTGAACTTCATCAATCACCAATGACTTGAAATCTAATTCAGTTTGAGTGGCGAAACCTGGCTCAAACGCGATAGATACGAATTCAGTTACAGCAGGAATAAGTCTATCGGGGCGGAAGCATTTGATAATCAATATTTTACGTAATTGTATAACAGTTTCTGGATAGGATAAGTTTGTTAGTATGTCTGAAAAAAAAAAACAAAAAAACAAAAAATAACATTAAATATAGTACGAAAATAGAAGATAAACATACGAGGCAATGAAGTGTCCAAAAATTCAGGCACATGTTGCTCAGGCTCATCATATTTCATAAATTTCATCCATTCATCAACATTATCATCAATACTCCTACTAAGTCCCGAGAAACATTTAAGAGATGTGAATTCTTTTATTTTACAAAGTTGATCAGAATCAAAAATATTTTCGGGTATTCCTAGTTCGCGTGCTGTGACTTTTGATCCAGGTACGACATCACCGCCACTTAATAAGTAATCGTATTCAGCTTCATCAACGTGATCAGGAGTTCCACGAAGTTTAATTTGAGATAGCAAAACTGCGAATGTAACATAGTCTTCATGAAGTAAAGCTCGCGACACACGTTTGAAAGTCAATTTAAAAAGATCACGAGTGATAATTTTCAACCTTTCTTCAGGTTCTGTAATGTTTTTGAGGTTTGGATTTTCATGAAGGATGCACTGGAATATTTCATAAAAGTATTCAAGAGAAAACTGATAAAAATGATGTAATATGTTTATTTGTTCCATAACAAAGAATACAGAACTACAGGCTTGAGCCAAAGGTGTATATTGTGCTGTAACTCGTTCAACTTCTTGCATGATAGTGTCAGTTTCTTCAACTTTGCTAGTGATTTCAGCGGCCTCTTTTTTCAATTTTTCCAATGTATCCAAGACATGAGTATCATCCAAGATATTGCCCTTAGATTCATTTAAAGCCTGCAAAAGAGATTTTTCGAGATGTCTCAACCTTAATTTGAATTCACCTTGAAGTTTGATTAAATCTGTTCGTTTCTGATCTGTATCAGGTCGCTCAACCTTAAGTACTTGATTAAGACATTGGCTTTGTAAACTACTACGAGTTACAGTAAAGTTGACAAATGTTACTCTGCTGCACACGTCTGGGGGGAAATTGACAGAAGGATCACGAGTTGATAGGAAAAGTGTAAATGATGGTGAGAAGTCAATATCTTGTCCACCCAATCTTATTAGAACACGACCACCAGTACGGCGCAATTCTTTGTTGAGAACAGGATTTAAAATAGGGTCAAGATGTTCAACATCTTGAATAAGTAAAGGATTACCGAAACGAAGAGCACTTTCCAAGTTCTTAACAAATGAATCATCTAAGAAACTAGTAACAGTAATTTTTTTGTTTTTAAATTCATTCTTTAAAAATGAAGAAGCTTGGCCAGATGGATCAATAATAAGCGGATATCTATTGAATCTTTTAAGCATAATAGCATTTTCAGTACATAGATCATCAGCTGGGAGGGAATTTGCTTGCCAGGAAAGACGATCATCAGCTGATGACAAATATTCTGTCAATGAAAGTTCTGGTTTATATTTAATCTCGGCGGCATTCAAATGTTCTTTCCATTTTTTAATCAACGTTTCACGGTACTGTTGATCGAAATATCCACCATAGGCAAGGAATGCTGCAGAAAGTAATACATCCCCTACAATTGTTCCCATCTGTGTTTCAAATGCTTGACTACCAGTTACCCATCTTTCCTTTTCAGATGATAAACTAGCAAGAAGAGTCATACTTCTCTCTACTTTATTCTTAACAGAGTTCATTACTTCTTTAATAACTTCTTTATCTTTAATTAAATCTGTATATTCATCCTTATATATTGCTATTTTCTTTTCTAAATCTTTGATCTCTTGTTTCATACATTCAGCTTGTTGTTGAGTTTGCTGTTGTTGTGCTTCTAAATCTTCCATTTCCCTACGCATTGGACCGACTCTGTCCAAAATATCTGAATAGCCGACCTGAGCAATTACCCATTTAACCAAAGGACCACATGCCTTACTTGCTCTGTTTACAGTCTCGAAATTATAATTAGGTTTGGTAAGATATTCTACTTTAATTTTTTCTCTCACAGTTTTAGTCAATTTATTAGTATCATATTGAACAATACTATTAATAAAGTCATCAGATCGGATGATAGCCTGCAATTGTGACCAACTATCGGCCCTTCTACCAAGTAAAAGGCAAACAGATGTCATTGCCATTTTCACTGCCTCTGGAGGGTTGTTCATTGAACGTACTTCAGTAAGATGTTGTCTCGTAATACCTCTTACACTCTTCTTTGCGTCCTCAAGAGCTGGTTCAGCATTGGCTAAATCCCTCACTACTACTTCACGACGTTCTTCGATTGCTTTATTTTGAACCTCGAGGGCGATTGAAATTTCTTCAACATCTTTTTTACGTTTTTCAGCTTCATTTTGATCTTCAAGCAATTTATTAAACTTTTCGTTAGCTTCACGCTCCTTTTCTTGAAGCTCTTTATTCTTTATAGCTAAATCACTACGAAGTTTATCAACAGTATCAACAGTTTCTTTTAATTTTTCTAATCCAACATTCAAATGACGTTGTTGCTCCTCAAGATCTTCGCGTTTTTCATTGAATAATCGTACATAATGATTAATAAAGTCCAAGTAATGGCGCGGAGTTACATAATTATAACGACCTTGGCGTTTGCTCAATTTTGCATTAATCTCGTAAAGAGATTGATGAACGAAAACGAATGCATTCACAACGGCAGAACGATGCGATGGCGGTAAAGATAATAATCTATATACAATAGGGAAGCTTGGAGGTGCTGAATATGTTTGAAGATCCAAGTCCAAGTTTTGAGTGAATTCCATGCCTACTTGGAAGAAAGCTTGATCTGACCAATCACCGAACCAATCTAAAACACAACGATTGAAAAGAGCGGGAGATGTTGCCGCACGAGAAGCGAGACCACCTTCTGGAGGGTTCATTGTAAATACAACGTGAAGGTTTTTCATTACTTGTTGTGTGAACCATTTATATAATTCTTCAGGAGAATCTAACATTAATCCATCCCTCTGAGCACCCTCCTTACAACTTGTCATTAACGCATTATATTCATCACCTTCGAATAACCCAGGAACTTCAGCGTTAGCAAGGAGCGTATTCATACGTTCCAAGAAACCTGAATCTAACACGTTTGATTCATCCATTACAAAGCAGATTTTTTCTCCTTTACAACCAGCTCTTCTTAAGACTGTTCTTAAATCATCATCAAAATCATCACCAGTATATTTATTATGCGCTTTAATTTGGAAAACACTTAATCCATTCATCCAAGCGCAAAATCTAGACAAAGTAGTCTTGCCAGATCCACTTACACCAATTAAAAGTAAATGTCCTTGCATTTGTCTAAATACACGATCAATACGAAGAACGTGATCCAAGACATCATTGAATAAAACTAGTGGGACGTCTAATTCTTCTTCATAAAAGACTTTGAGACGAGCTTTAACATAATCACGCAACTCTTCACGTTCAACAGGGATATAATGTTTCGATAACCAATTGGAGAATAAAATTGGTCGATGCAAAGCCTCAGAAGTGTTCAAATTTGGAAAATGCTTCAAAGCAGTAGCATCAATGTTCTCATCCGTCCATTTTCTTTCTTCCTCAGTAACAAGACGGTCCTGGAATAATCGCAAAGCTTCATGCGCCCAAATACGAACTAAACCTTCAAGAGAAAGGGATTCCAAAGGCTTAATTGCCTCGAATATACCTCTCATCCATCTAGTCAATTCTCTGGGAGAATAAATATAATGAGCTTGGATATCAGGAGTAAAATGTTTTTGAGACATAAGATAAAATTCAACCATCGCAGCTGTAAGCGGTTCAGCGTATCCTTTAAGTGAAGGAATAACTTTTAACATGGCACGAGCAAATGTTCCGTAAATTTGATTAAGGGAAATTTCACCGGGATAATCGACCATCACTAAAGGAGCATGACGAAGGTATCTATGAGTTAATGGCACACGTCCAGGATCCGTTGGAGGATTACAAGCACCAACAAATTGGATTCGCTCCAATTTAACCCATGCTTTATCTGACGTTCTCCAATAACCACCACATTCAATTAATTGCCTTAAAAATGAAATAACGCGTTGAGTGCCATATTGATCACTTGCGGGAAGATTGATCTCGTCACAAAACACCACAATCCAGCGACCAATGGCAACAGGTGCTAAAATAACACCGTTTGGAGTTTTACGATATTCACAATATTGTTCAAATGTTTTTAAAATTAATTCAGGTGTGGTAGCGCTGGAAAAGTTGAGACCAACAACCTCCATGTCAGGCAATTTTCTAAGGGCACTAAATAATGTCATGGTTTTTCCTGATCCAGGAGGACCGCATAACAAAAGAGGTTTGTGTTCTGATAACCAGGAATATAATATTTCTTCGTGACGGACAGTATCAACTGTAGGAACAACTACATCAGCCTCAGCTACTGTATGAGTTTCAATTTCAATGGTTGGAACTTTGCCAGTCCATGACATCCATTCACCATTACTGATTTGAACATCATAATCAATGAGAGTTGAGCCCACCTGCTGAGGAGGTAAGTCGACTGCGTACACATAAAAAATAAGTGACTTGAAAATTGAAAATATCTCTATATAAGAAAATGCTATGAAGCTTTACCTGTAGCTATTCCACGAACAAAATCACCTAGTTCAGCGCGGTAGTCTAGTTTAGCGTCCCCAGAGAAACTCCAAATAACGCTAAGAACTAAGCGTTTTGTTACATAACTATCTAAATGTTCTGCTGTCATTGGAAAATCAGGATGTTGTGTGTTATAATCAATTACATTACGAACAGTTTTATTTAATAATGAGAATAGTGTATTCAACACGCGCATGTGAGTAAAGTCCATAATATGCTCTAATTTTTCTGCTTGCATAAGAGTTTTTGTGACTAATCCTTCTTCAGTCATATGTTTGGCAAGAATATTTGCAACGTTACGTTGTGTGCTGAGATGCGGTGAGACAGTATCTTCTGCACTCTCAACTTTATGAGATGTTGATACTTCTTCTTCATTTTCATCCAAAGCAACGGATTTCAGATTTTCCAAATAATTATAATAAATCATTTCAAGAGTGACTACTTCCTGTAAATTACAAAATGAGAATGAGGGTTTTTGACATTATCATACAATATACATTTATATTGAAATCAGTAATAACATACCGATGAGAACCACACCATACCACAACGACTGACGGTAGCTAAAGTGGCGTATTTTAGATTTTCTACTTCAAACATAATGCGGACATTATGCGGAAGACTTAAACGTTCACCATTAGGAAGAGTCAATAATCGATTATCATCCAATACAGAGTTTCTATTAAACAATAAAAAAATTAAGCCACGATTTAAATTATACTTTTTATAAACTTTTGTATACAAACGCACAAATTTTCAACCCATTCCGGATCCACATCGCCATCAAAAATAATCCAATGTCTTTTGGCTTTTTCACCACGAACGTTATCAATAATTTTTCGCAGAATATGGGTGAACAGACCATCCGTCCATTCACGGGTTGTTTGATCTAAATTTCCATAAAGTGCATCTTTTGATACAGCTTTAGGGTCAATAACGTAGGAAACACCTTCTCGACCTTCAACACGTTCCAAAGCTTGAAGTAATACTTTCCACGCAGTTGATTTACCTAAAGAAAGAAATTGTTAATGAATTAAAGCCATTTATTAAGAGATATCATCATTCAACTCACCAGAACCAGAAGGACCAACCATCATAAGACCATGATGAATGTTTTGGATTTGATAAAGTTGAAGAACTTTTTCCAACCACATTTCACCATCAAGAAGGTACTTCTCATTACAAACATTTTTAATCTCTGCCGTAAGTTTATCAAGATCTACCGGTGAATATTCAACGCCAGGGAAAACATCGGCAAGCAAACTAGCAAAAACAATCTAATTAGCATTGACAGTTATTCACTAAAATCAAATTTTATTACCTACCTAGTTAAAAGAGGAATATCATCAGCTACTAATTTGGGAACTATAGTTTCACGAATACTTTGAATCAAAATCTCCTGCTCAGGTGTAGACTCTGAAATTCTGGTATATTCTGATTTGTCCGCATTGCTTTCTCTAAGTCCTTGAAGGCGTTCACGCTTCAGATTACCGGCACTAACAAGTACACTCTTAAGGGCTCGAAGACCAAAATCGTAATGTGCTTGCGGAGAAAGTTGTTCTGCACAAAGGTTGAATAACGGGACAACCTTTGAGGCAAGAGTTTCTGCAGTTCGGAAACCTTGAGAATACAACATTACTTGTGCGATTAATTCGCGGTCTGGTTTTGTCATAGCCATGCTGCGGAAAAGTTTCTTTAAGTTGTCAGGTAAATTGGAACGACCAGCATAGCCCGGATTCATAGTAATAAAGATACCTGAATATATGTATAGTTTGATGGTCAGCTACCAATACAGTGTTGGTTAAAGCTTAATAAAACTTTGTTTACTCACCAGTATTAGGATTAACTCTTAGATTTTTGCCAACGATTTCTACTTCAGCGTTTGGATCTTCTATAATAGCCTTAAGACCAAGTTGAATAGTCTGTACTTGCTGAGAAACAGCAGATAAAATTCTCTCTTCAAGACGATTAAATTCGTCAAAGCATCCCCAAGCTCCGACTTGACAAAGTCCAACAAATATACGACCCATAGCTTGAAAATCGAAATTTTCATCGCAACAAAATACAAGTACAAATCGTCCCAACTATATTGGTAGAGCTTATGATTATTTCTGCATAAACAATCGTCGATTATCCCGAAAAAATACACCAAATGTAAAAACATACCTGAACACCAAGGGCCTTTACTGATTCCGTTTTGCCAGTTCCTAAAAATTATAATTTCAATTATATATACTATTGACATTCCTGATTAGCAAGAAGAAATATAATTGAAAAAAATATAAAACATACCTCTGTTGAAATTAATGCATATTAATTGAATCATTAAAAATTTCAGAAACAATGATTAAATATAGTACCTTGAAATAAAAAAAATACTTACGCAGCTGTAAAGTAAAATTTTATGAAAATATAAGCATGAATATGAGCATGAATATGATAAAAATGAAAAGAAAATAGACGTGCAGGTAAGCAAAGATATAATACTAACGTCCTGTTAAATTTTTTGTTTTTAAAAAAAAGGAATACGTCAGTAAACTCATAAGTATGATAACAAACAATAAAATAAAAAGAACAAAGACTAACCAAATGGAGAACCACCCAACCTAGCTTCAAGTGCTTGGGTAAGAGTGCAATAGCATCTTTAAATCGTATGGAAAAATTAAATATTTGAGCATCTTTAAATATTTGTATAGAAAACTTCTTGACCAGTTAACAAACCTGTCTGTGAGTGGTGTTTGGACTAAACGATCAGGCACACCAAGGTACTCATATCCATAATAAAATTGTGCATTTGCCATTTTAATAACTAAACGTAAAAGTGGATCCTCATTGTTGAGATTGAAATAGAATCTCATGTGATATAACCATGCAAAGTCTTTGGGAGAAGAGATTTTATCACGTTGCAATTGACGGATAGTGTCACGTTGATGCACAAGCTCAGTAATCATATGTTCACATTTTTTACGTTGTGTTGAAGGCAAATCTTGAAGTACGGTATCCGCTAAAACATCTAATGCACGTAAAACATAATTTAGAGCTCCGTTTAATGGTTCTTGTTCTTTGCCGCCCGATTGTTCAAGAGATGTTTCGACTGATGTAGTCCAAACAATTTGTACAGCAACTACAACTAATTGTGCCGGATACTTTTGTATCCACTCTAAAAATGTCGGTGTATCTAATTCTTCTGCTAAATAGAAAGTATTCAATTCATTTACAGCATCTTTTAAACATTCTGCGAGAGAAATACGCATTTGAGTTTCTATCATAGTCAGCCTATATAATTAAAAATAAAAATTATTAAAAAACAACAATAAAAATGGATAGAAAAAAAGATTAATAATATTTACCAATCATTTATACGCGAATAATCTTTGATTGTTATTGGGGTTTTGAAAAGAACTTCCTCGCCTTCGCGGGATGACATACCAAGAATAACACCGCAGTCTTCACTAAGAATGATATTTGACACACCGGCAAACATTTTCTTGAAATGCTTTTGAATGCGAACGACATCTTTACTATTACCAATAATTTCAAGTAAATCTTCATCACCCACAAAATAGAAACGGGGGAAGGTTGAACGTTGACGTTCAAGATATTCACCAAGTGCTTTTTGAATTTTAGCCAGGAGATCGGCTAAACGCTCCAAGGACTTTTGAACATTCGGAATGTTTAGAACGTCTAAAACAAATGGGGATTTGTACACTTTCTTCATAACAGCCAAGAATTCGGTATTTATGGATTGGAAACGCGTAGTTTCAACTGGAAGTAAATGTTTAATGTCCGCACTTCCACTAAAAATGCCTTCTAAGTATACCCATTGACGTTGAACATCGATCCAAATATCAAATAAAACATGAACTCTGTTTAATTTATCCTCCCATGATGAAGCATCTTCTTCAAAAGCTTTGTAATAAGGTGACATTTTCATCGCAGTTAGTGAATTGAGATTTTCACCACATTTAGTGAATAGTTCATCCCATCCTTTGATAAGGCGACACTTATTTTGGTAGTTTACAAGTTCTAGAACATATGAAGTCCAAGTTTCTTTCACTTGTTTCAAGAATTCTTCCAAAGCCATTTCACCAGTGGCTTGAACTACAATGTCTTTTATTACTTGCTCATTTTTTTTAAGGTCGAAATCCCAAACATGGCCAACTGTCATTTCGCTTAAAAGGAAACGGCCATCGAGTTTAAGAGCCTTGAATAGTTGTCTCCAATGACGTTCTTTCAATGCTTCAGATTTGAGCTCAGAAAGAATTGGGTTCAATTTAAGGTAGGTTTTCACAGTTTCTTGAACGTATTCAAATGGCTTATATGAATGCATACGACCTGGCATCTTTTTAATATCATTAAGAAGATTATCTAATTGTTGTCGAACTTTTCGTGGGACTACAGTATTCCATAAGGTTTCTTTTAATTCATTGATTGATTTCCAAACACTTGAAAGAGATTTCCAAACAGAATTGAGATCTTTAAGTTCATCAAGAACGTTTTCTAAACGATCCTCATTAGTAAAGGCCATGTCAAGTGCATCTTTTGCACGACAAACCATATCATATTCTTCCTTAAGACGAGTAACTTTTCCTTCATAAATATTGAGTGTATTTGTTGCAATGTCCGGTTTAATATCTCCTTGTATTGGCTTGTTTGTGTCCCATTCAGAAATAATCCTCTTAATTTTTTCTTCTACATTTTTATCCTCGGCAATAATCTTCAATTTTAATCCATCTATAATATTTAAGAAGAAATGTGTAAGAAATTACATATATACTCTATCTTACAATAACGGAATTAATAGAATTAATAAATAATTACCGATTTGATCTTGAATTTGATTGTTCTTTTTCTCTAAGATTTCGTTAAAAGCACTCCATTCACCTTCAACCTGTTCAATATGCAACCAGTCACTTGGAAATTGATACCGTTGTCGCTCTAAAGTTTTTTGTCCTTCATGGAATATCTCAACATCTTGGTTCCATTGCTTAACCTTACGTTTGAGGTCTTGTACGAAAGTAATCAAAGCAACAGCTTCACTTGTATTATTACTTTCCATAGATTTATTCTCAAGTTCTTTGCGAGAATTTGAAACTGCTGAATGAAATTCTTTCATGGAATCGCCGAGTTTAACACCAAATTTAGCAAGAACATCACGTTGCCATTGATCATACTTGGCATTTACTTTGCTTTGTGCTTGTTCGTAATTAACTACTATAAAGCCAAAGGATTTTTCGACCTCTGAATTATCAAACGTAGTACGTGATTTCTTTATCTCTGAAAGAATTTGTTTCCATTTCTTAAGATCATCGCCAAGTCGATCATAAATATAATTAGGTTCAAGATCCCATAATGATTGAAACTGGAACCATTTGCTAACATATTCAGATACTTCTTTCAATTTGTTTTCAATGACTTCATATGCTTTCTCTAGTGAACCATCAGGAATTTGTGCCAATAAATTGGAGTATGTGGTTTCTCGAGAAACGGTGGACCCTCTAACTTGTAGATCAATATCATAACGTGAACCTAGAATTCTTGGTAAATTGCATACAACCGCTAATATAATTTAAAAATATATATATCTTTAATAATAAAGTTTAGGTAATTGTAATTAAACAATAGGCCAAAGAATCAGACTTACAAAGCCATTCGTGTAATTGGTTATACCATTTAGTTCTGGCATCTTCAATTGGGGGATCCAAATAAATTACTTGATTTCTAATACGCACTGTGTAAACAGAGTGCTTCAGCACAGGTTTTTCAGTTTTTGCAATTGTTGGTCTTTCACCATCAAAAGAATCATTTCTAGCAGTTCTACGTTTTGCACCTTTACTAGTTGAGGTTTCATGAGAAATTGACTCTATATCAGTAGAATCGTCACTGGATGAAATGAATTCAGTTGTCCATGAAGATATTGAACGTTGTAATCGTTGAGACAAGACGGTTTCAATCCGTTTGTCAAGTTGCGCAACCCAAGCGTCAAGATTAGAGTAAGATTCAAGATTAAGACGGTCAATCTACAAAATTAAAAAAGAATTAAGTTTAACATATTAATTACTTGATGGGTTTTACAAAGCCATATTTAATTAACTCACCAGTTTTTGAATTTTTTCCAAGTTGGATTTGAACTTTTTCAACTGATATGCACAAGTTTTTAAGTCTTCAATTAAACGCGATATATCTTCATAATTAGTAATCAAGGCATCAACTTTATCTTGAAATTCTGAAACAGTGTTCGCAAATTCTCGTACAAAAGTAACATGTTGATTCTCATGAGAATCCATCGCACCACGGAAGTTACGATCATAAGTGTCTACGAAATATTTCCACTCAAAAGCGATACCTTTAGCGATCATGGCTTGTACACCGTTACGATAGCTGGCAACCAGCATGATGACATCAGGATATTTTTGAACTTTTTGCACTGTTTGTGCATATGTCCTAACTGTTTCCATGAGACTTACAGCGAAAGGATATACACGCTTGGCAACTTTTGCGCTTGTGCTTATATTGTGTGGAACTTGATGACCTAGCCATAATAAATTACGCACTTCTTTAAATAAGGTAATTATTTGTGGATCAAAATTTACACCTAATTGAAGAATATTTCCTTGAGCACGATTTTTTGTAATTTCAAATAATCTTCCGGTCACTTGCAAATCGCTACGTTGTGAAATGTCCTTCTGCCAAGCTTCAAAAATCTATATAAAAAGTTATATGTGTACATTAACAAAAATAGTTATAGAACTCATTAATTTTGAAAAATAAACAATTACCGGTCTCGTATCTAATTTTTTTCTAAAGTTATTGCTTTCATTTTGTAATTTTTGACCTTCTGCATACATCTCCCAACCTTTACCAAGAACATCCTCAACACGTTTCATATAGGTTTGTAATTGTCTCTCAATTTGACGTGCCCAAATCATTGCACCAGAGATAGCAGGAAGATCACGAAGCTGAGCCATGTGATTCGCTTCAGATTTACGATACTGTTGAGTGAACTTCTCATGAAGTTTAGATATATCTTTTTTAACTCTGTCAATAAGTTCATTTTGATATTCTTGAATAGCACCACGAATCTAATAATGATATAAAATGATTAGCATAACGATAGCATATGATAATGCCCTTACAAAATAATTTACCTTCGGTCTAACGAACAAAGCATTGAATTTTGAAAACACACGAAACATTTCATTAGCATTTTTACATGTACCAAGTCGATCTCGTAGACTAGCAATAATTTGATTTTCTACTCTTGAAACACGTTCGTTATATGCATTTTCAGCTTGCATCCAGATTTCTGTGCCTTCAATCGAAACATCTAACACATCAATATCCTTTACACTTTCATATGCCACTTTTACTTCTTCCATAGAATTGATATCGTTCATGCCAGCACCTTCTTCTTGTGAAACTACATTACTTTCGCCTTCGACAACAATTTTTGTGGTACTCTTTGGTTGAGTCATGACTTTAGCAATTGTCTGATGAAGTTGTTCATGTTGTTTCCTAAAATTTCTAACGAATGTAACACGCTCTTGCAATTTATCATGTGCAGGACTTATTTTGATTGGAATGAATTTGTCAGAGCGTTTACGCATAACATCACGTGCTACATTTGTGAATTCTTTGATCATCTCATCCCAGGTTTTAAAAACTTCCTCAGCACCCGACATAACTTTTTCAAACTCATCATATTCCATGTACATCAAACGACGACTACCCAAAACCTTTAGTAATACATCATTTAAATCACGAGAGATGGCCTCTACAAGAGCAAGTGCTTTCTTGATTGGATATGGACTATTTACAACAACCGAAAATGAATTTGGTGATCAGTACTAAAAAGAATTAAGTAATAAAATTACAAAGTTTATACTTACGATAATCTCATTTTCTTGGTGAAATGAGCGAAAACAATAGTTAACGCCTCTTTAATCTTTTCGACATTAGGAGCAGATAACAATTCACCAAGAGGAAAGTCTTTCATTAATTGATTATATTTGTGAACTGATATTGATAGTGGAATAGATTAATAATTATTTATTTAAACATTTATCGCAAAAGTATTGTTAAATATATAAATGAATACCTTTCTCCTTTGCTTCTTTTAATCCAGTATCAGCAATAAAAGACACAGTAGCATGGAAACGTTTGGCATGTCTTAGAATTTCCAATGTCAAAACTATAATTATCAAAAAAGATAAATAATTAACCACACATATTATTAAATTGATTATAATTTAGCTTATATTCGTACCGATCTGATCACTTTTAAGCTGGACATCAACTTCTTCAAGTGCAGTTTCCATACTCAGCCAGAAATTTATCTCTTGCATAGCTGTGCCACTTGCTGGATCACGTGATAGTTTTGTTACTTTTTGGATCTCTTTGATCCAACTGTTTACACCCCCTTGAAGCTTATTCAAAAATTCAGTAGTAAGTATATCTTGGTCAATAAACTCAACGCTAATCCTTCTGCCTTCTTGTCTAGCCTGTGTAGTAAAGCATAATGTTATTTTAATCATTCCACATAAAAAAAAAACAAAAAAACAAGGCATAAAGAAAGGTACCCTTTCAACGGCCTTTGTAACGACCGGATTAATATTAAGAGATATTTCAGGAATTTCAACATTTTGCTGCAAATGAACGAGAGCTAACTCCAACTCGGAGATTTTCTTTTTCGTCATTGGGATGCCTTTTTTTAAAAATGGAAATTTGTTTATCATACTAAGTAACGACAATTAAATTTTTATTAGAAACGTAGAATAAAGGTTACCCATTTTAGTATCATCGTGTTTTTTATTGATCCCAGCACCTTCAGAGTTAACACCTTTAGCATTAACATAAGCATCGAAGTATGGCGCAACTGCATAATGGATATAAGAGTGAAGAGCTTCATATGGGCTCACGTTAGTAGATCCGGATTCATTGCTTGCTTGGCCAGGTAAATTTATGAATTGAACTTGTGATTGTACAGAACGATTGGGATCTAGGGTTGGAGAATGCTTGATGATGGCTATTGATGCGACATTATTTAAATGATAAACAATTTCTTGCGAGATAGTATATACAAATGAGACCACTAATGGATCATCTGTTAAAAGCAAAAAAAAATAGTAAAAATTTTTAGATCATATATATAGGAACTGAAAATAAGCTGCATTGGCTTATATAAAAAATCAGAAAATATAGTTTTACTGCGGTAATGAACAAATTGAAATAAATCACCTTCTTCTTTTTTATCCTCCTTTGACTTTGTTATATATAATGCGTTAACTTGAGAATCATTAGCGAAACGATGCAATTTTTCGGTTGTTTCTGGAATTGACCATAAAGAGGCCTCTAAGTCAGCCTCCTCTGCCCCTAAGACCAAGGGAAGGAGTTTATTTAAATACTCTTGAAGCAGTTTAGGCTCGAATGTTGGAGTAGTGCTAGTATTCTGAGCCAAACTTTCACCCTCAAGGGTAGATGTTGAGTCGTCAGCCATGATGATTTGAGAGAAAGAGAATGCAGCTCAATATGATTCAAAGCAACACTTGAAAAAAGAAAGTGATTGCTAGTAGTATTACAAAATGAACCAGGGCCTTTTTATACTTGAAACTCAATCCAGATTTGATCAAGATAATGCGATTGCAACTGATTTCACAATATATAAACGTTACAATTATTTAGGTGTAACGATACTTTGTACAAATGCCTTGTGAAAGAGTAGAACAAGGGACTGGTATTAACATTAGAATATGCAAGATTGTAGATATTACTTTAAAGTGCATATATTAAATGATATTAAATGACGATTTCCCCTGTTAACGTTAACGTTAAAGCATATTTAGCAATGCATGGTACCGATCATGTAACTGTTTTTTATATCACACAAACAGCGGGAGTTTGCTAAACCAGTTACAATAGCACTTTTTCCGGGTACGCACGCATATTGCTAGATCGGTTCGTCTCACAACTAATGTTGACCAAGCTGATCCGATCCTTGCTCGGCAGACCAAAACCGAACCATCTATAAGCTGCCAACTTCGATCCGAAGCCGAGCCGTTACTCTAATTTAATTGAGCTATAAGCCAAGCCACTGCACATATATAACCGAAGCGCTATTTTTCTACGATTTATGGAAAATTTACTATTGGTCAACAATCTAAATATATAGGCCCATGATTCTAGAGTCAGTTTCATGATCTTGAACCGATTCAACTTTAGAGCTGATACTTTATTAGTAGACTTGTAGTCGAGCCGTTAAAATACTCTGCTTAGCCGTTTTGCCTCACGGATTGGCTCAAGCTTTACAGTTATTTTCATTATTTGGGGACAACTGATTACTGAATTGGCAAGTTTTTAATTTCGGCTGACTCACGGTAACTTATTGATTCGAGTTTGTGAATTATCGATTCAGTTTTTTTCCTGGGGATCGTCTAAAGCCAGGTAGTAATTTATATGTATCACGTGAATTTTAAATTACAAATTTGTTAGTAATCAATTTAAAAAATTACCTGGCTTTAGACGACCTCTTGGTTTGGTGGGAGGGTACCGAGTACGTACTTTCAAGGTTATTCGTTGTGGTGTTAAGATATCCAGATACAAATCAATGGCCGAGTTAATAGTAGAAATTCCGGGGTATAAGTCGTGGTAAAATACGGCATTTTCGGGTTCAGCCGAACGACGAAATCTCGTGCTTTCTGTGTACTACGCTACAAGGACACGAAAATTCATTGTGGTTATATACCGATATAAAATTTTTTATTTATTGTCAAATAATAAAATTGTCCAAATCTCAACCCAAATATAATAAAATTCGTCCCAAATCCCAAATCCCAATAGTTTTGCCAGCAAGTATAATTATAATACAGTAGTATCTAAAGTTGATTCGAGCATTGCAGAGTGAAAACCTACATTCACCGTATCAAATTTAGCATCAGAAGAATGTACAGCACGTTTTACAGTATAATACTAAACTACGTGTAGCCAAATACATTTCCTAAAAAAATTAAAAAACTTAACGCTTCAAGAATTGTTTTTTTATAACTAACACCTTATATCTGGGTTTTTTTAAGACATTAATTGCCTCTTTATTATCATCGAAGCTCTCTACATAAATATACAGTATATTTAAAGAATTATAGAATCGTAAATCTTAATATATATTTTGCATGTCAAGATAGGTTTATCATGTGGCTATACTCAACTCTAAAAATTCCGTTTTATAATTCCATTTTATTCATATCTATATATATGAATTTTTCCGTGTCCCTGCTACGCTATAACTTTTACACTATCTAAAAACATAGCGATAGGTTTCGTAATTACCAGCTTAGCCAACTTTAGTGAATATAGTAACAAGAATGATGCTTGCCATATAATTATATTCGTGTCAAAAATTTATGAATCATATGATTTATATCTGAAATTGAAGGATTTTGAAACGAATATATCACTAAAATAGTTAAAAGACGATCAAAGATATTTAGAGTAAGCCCTGGTGGTTTTCTATACCGGATATATATTAGATTAGTGAATAAATGCTGTATACTGTATAAAAATAACCTTTTCAAAAAATAAGGTTAAATTTGCCAATATGACCAATCTAGCGAATGAAAATAAAATAATTATCCATTAGGATCAAGTTGGTTGACCCCGATCTTCAACCCACTAAATTAGCTCAACGGTTTACCTCGGATTGTTTTATAGCTACTTCAAGTTGCTTCCAAATTTAAAAATATAATTTTTAAAAACCCACCCACTCCAACTTAGGTTGAATCCTACTCCTGAATACTCTAAGTAAGTTACTCCATTAACAACCCTATTGTCCATCATTAAAAAGTTTTGCATTTACCAAAGAGAATCGTAGAAACCTTAGCTGTTAGTAACAGGTTAATAACTAACGACTGAACATGCCGTGTAACTAGAGTACCTGGCATAGCAAAAAATTTAATGTGCCATATGGCATGCCAACTATTTAAATTCATGCCAAGATGCCACCCCTAGCATGCCATTAAATTATATATACATAATATAAGTAAGAAAAATTCTGTATATTTAATATTAAAAACTGGCTTATAAC